AGAATTTGTGAAGTAGACACACCTCTGTCAAGACTCGTCTGGAGAAGAAGCTGGCCAACTGGAATTAACAGAAGACGGTTAGTAGGTTATCAGTTAGTTAGTTAAGCATTTGTTAGTTTGTTATTAGTTAAAGTTATGGTTAGAAAGTTAGTTGAGACTTGTGTATAAATAATTGTACATTATGTTCAGAATAATGAGACATTCAATCAGAATTTTTCATTCCTCTTGTGCAATTTAACATGGTATCAGAGCAGAGAAAATAAATTTTTCCTCTCACATTCTTCATTTTTTCCTTCACATTTTTTTTCTTCTCTTCTGCTTCAATAATGGCAGAATCTCAATTTAGTAATAATCTCAATGAAGATTCATCATCACCGTATTTTCTGCATCATTCAGAACTTCACGGATCAGTTGCTGTCACCCCAGAACTAACAGCAACAAATTATGCGACTTGGAAGAGATCATTTCTACTTGCGGTCTCCATCAGAAACAAACAAGGTTTTCTAGACAAATCCATTCCTAAGCCTGCTTCAACAGATCCAGATTATCTTCCATGGGTTAGATGCAATAACCTCCTTATAGCTTGGTTGTTGAGATCGATTTCACAGCCAATTGCTTCAACAATTTTTTACTTGAATGATGCAAGCGAGATCTGGGAAAAGTTACAACAGCGATTCTCTCAACCTGATGATTCAAAGATATGTAATCTCCAATATCAACTCAGTAATATTTCACAAGGTACGAAATCAGTTGATGCTTATTTTACCGAATTGACAGCTGTGTGGGAGGAACTAAGAACGTTTAGACCGTTGCCATATTGCAAATGTGGAAAGTGCAATAATGATTGCTTTCAGGAATTTACCAATTCTTATCAGAAAGATCTGGTATTCAAGTTCCTAAATGGTTTAAATGAAGTATACCAAGGTTTAAGGTCACAAATCATTATGATGAAGCCTTTTCCAAACCTTGATCAGGTTTACAATCTTATATTGAGGGAAGAATCTCAAAGGATGTACCTCACTCAACAACAGAGCTTTGTCGATCTATCTTCAGCCATGGCTGTAAAGAAAGGAAGGTCTGATGATGTATGTTCTTATTGTGGTAAACGTGGCCATAAAAGGGAGAAATGCTACAGACTAATTGGATTTTCCACCTGACTTCAAATTTACAAAAGGTAGAAATGGGAGTGTTAACTCTGTGATTGAAGATCAGAAAGAAT